GTAATAGATCACTACAAACTACAGTAAAAGCTTATGAGAAGGTACAAACTGAGAGGGCTAATTAGCACCAGTAATATTTATATTCATACAGCATGTTTATAACATGCTTTACGATTTATTAATTCTTTCTAAACCATTTATAAATGATTATCATGCAGTATGATTGGCCGGTTAAGGCTGTTTAACATCACCTTCCTTGTGTGCTGGAAGGAAGAAGAAGAGGTGTGTTATCAACACCTGCAGTCAAAAATCACTGCCTGCTTTTTGTAAGGGCTTCATCTTCCCAAAGGGTATTACTATGAGTAGAACTTCTGACATAAGCAGAAGTATGTTAAGACTTAACGTCTTATGGTTGGTATTGTTTGGACAGTTGGGACTGTAAGACAGAGTAGCGTTAGAAGTAGTCTATTCTTACTCAGCATCAGGAAGCAAGGAACTACAGTTTGCATTTTTTGGACACCCAGGAACAGAAGTGATGAAATGTAATACACAGTGCCTGAATGTTCACTACTGCTTATTAATTTGGGTAGTTTTCAGGGGTTTCATACCCCAAACTGCACTTTACAATTTTTTATTTTTACTTGAGTGATCAAGCAAAGAGGAGTATCAAATGCCACCCAATTTATGCTTTAAACAAACAAAAATTGGCCGGATATTTTGGCTATGCCTTACAAAACTATGCACAGAATCAAATCAACTCAAAATTTTGAAGGCATTTCACCCAGGGGCACAAGTCAGATGCATTACTGCACGCTGCATGCATGCTGCAGGCTCTCCTTCTTGGAAGCATGGCTCCAGCTTGACCAGCTAAAAGACTGTATTCAGCATCCTAGTAAAACTGTGCTATGAAAGCAAGTTCTGCTGGGACTGCAACAAGGTACCAAACTCACTTTTTATTGTAGGAAAAATTTCTGTGAGGTGGTTATTCAAAGATGAAACAAATGCCAAATCTGACCCAAATGTTTAATGCTGGCTGCAAAGCCTGTGCACTTTATTGGTGTATACTAGGTGATGCACTGTTCAAAGCACTTGAAAATTAATCTGAGTGAAGGGCTATGTAGAGGTGCTCTGCACTGTGCTATATGTGTACTGTGGTTAGCAGATCAGCTGCTTTTTCTTCCTTCTTGTGCTTACACCTCAACAGTGTCAGGCTTCAGCCCTGGGTTCTTAGAGCTCACAAGAAATGGCAGTTCTCTTAAACCAGCTGGAAACTGGATTCCAGCTCCTTGGGTTTACCAGTAAGAGACCCACTGATCTAACACAAATTGGGCCTTACGTTGTAGCAGCTGACTAAAATGAGTAAAAACATGCTTTAAAACAAAGGTCCTTGTAATTGAAGTATCAAATAGATTGAATAAGGTATAAAGGCATCACATATATGAGCTACAGCCCGCACGTGCTCATTTCTTTTCAGTGCTTGGCCTCTTTCTTTTATAGCTCAGATGTCTCCTGCTTATTGTCTGTCTTTGAGATGGGAGGAATAGCCCACGATGATTTCAGTACCCACCATATGTTTAGAGTGCTCTCCGTGGCTGCCACTACCTAGAACTTGCGTCTAGATCCCTAAAGATGGATTTATTTATTTTCATTTCCTCCCTCCGTGTTTGACAAACCAATTATGTCACTATTGATGGGACTTGAGTCTCCTCTTGGGTCCCTAATGTGGCAGTTGTGTTTGAGGGAATGCTCTTTGACTGAGCAACTGCATTAACTTTTCTGTTTGTTTTTTCAACAACTTTTTGATGGCTTCCATTGAGTTAATGCCCAAGCAGACAGCAGTGCAAAACACAGAGCAAAATGAGTCACACACGATGTTCATAGATTCCTAGATTGTTGCGTGCAGTAGTAAGCTATTGGAACAAGTACACATTTCATACTTCCAATGACATTTAATGCCTGTAGAGTAACCTCTGAGGAGGTTGCTCACTAATAGATATCTCCTGTTAAATACGCTTAGTGTGTAGCCATAAGAATGTAAGATGATTTCATATTTTTCTCCTTTTTCCACATGTAACATCATCCAGGGTCTGCCATACTAATGTGCTGCCTGTACAGCTTCATACCTTTATTTTCTGGTGAGGCGAATACAGATGTAAATTCTCTCTGTTCTCATTGCAGCATTTCAGCATAATGCACCTTTTTCATTACTTTCTTTTGGCCCTGTCCCAGTTCTGTCCACCTGACTCTGAGATACAGGAGCAGTGCGTTTGTTTGTTTGTTTGTTTTAAAATGAATTCCAGCATTTCCTAGCTAGGGTGATCTCGATGGGAGGAAAAATCTCTCATTTTTGCTTGTTGGCATTTTTGTACTGGAGTGTAGAAACTGCTGCTGTTCTGAGTTCTTATAGCCAGCTTGGAAACTGTGTCACATTCGTAAAGGTAAATTCTGCAGGATTTATTAAATTGCAGAAGATGCAAGGAAGAAATTCTCAGTTTGGCTGTTACATTCCATATCAACATGTTCTTGTAAAAGGGAAAAGTTTTGATAATGTACAACTCTCTTTTCACCCCAGCACTTAAAATTAACCCAGGGTTCTTTAAGCTCTTCCTACTGCTCCTCTATACAATTTCCAGTGTGGACAAACTAAGATTTGCTATAAGACCTAAGACCTACGTCTTATATATTTTTGCATGTAAATCAGCAACAGAAATAAAATTTGTTTGATAGCAGTCATGTGGATAGTAAATGCATTTCTAGGAGGATATCACACTAACTCTCTCTTCTGTCCCCTACCTCAGGCTCCTAGGCTGGATGAAAACACAGTACACAACAACTCTTTTTTCAAATATTGCTTCCAATAAGGAACTGGGAGTTGGGAGGGCGGGACTGCCGTGTTTTGTCCTCCATGTGTGTGATCATTTTTGTAAAAAAATAGAAGGCAGTGGGGTTGGGAGGGGAGAATTCAGGACTTGGAAACATCTGATTGCAAAGAGGAAATAGCAGATTGGAACTTTTAATCAAGTATCCTGGAATTCAGGTGAGTGTCAGAGAGGACTTTCCCACCATAATTAAATATTGGTGGGAACATCTCCTAGTGGTGGTTAAACTCCTAAACAGGTGTTTAACTGCATCTTTGGGCACCTAAATGCCTCACAAATCTTGTGCAAGGTAATTTATAGGCTTGTCTTGTAATTTATGGTTTGGAATAAGCTTTTGCTGATGACTCATGCAAGGAAGATTTTAACCAAACTTCCCATATGCACGACACATCTGCGTTGCACTCAGCTATTTCAGTTATAGAACAGGCACACAAAATGGCCTATTGAAAGCAGAGCAGACAGTTCTCCCTTTAAAGCTACTTTGCATAAACCTTTATGAGCACCTCATATTACGATGGTGCAAATTTAAGTTCAACTAAGTGCCAAGACTGAGCTTCTAGATTTTGTCTGCCATACTGTCATGGGCAGACTGTGGCAGGGTACAAGGAGGGAAATTCTGCATAAATGAGTGCCCCAGTTTTTCATGGTGCAAATTTAGATTTAATTTGGAAAAAAAAAGAATTAAAAAAAAAAGCATGCCAAGTCTGGGCTTCTGCATTTTACCTACCTGTGATGGACAAACTGGAAAGAGATAGAAGGAAAACCATGCAGAGGATAAAGAGAGAATAAGATCTACCACTGTGTTCAGTGTTAACTTACTCTTTCTCTGGAACAGCCTCCTGTTATGCAGTTTACATATTTTTTAGCAATTTTAATACTCAAATTTATTTAGGAATGTATTTCTAGGAGTCCATTTCAGAAACAGATATTTTGATTCTTCTAAAACAGATTTAAAAGTTCGGTAATCAGAGACAATTAATGGCCTAAATTTCTTTTATATTCCCTTATATACAAGTTGATACTAACCGACCCGTATCAATTCTAAGTATGTGTATATACACATGCACACATATAATCAGCTTTCCAAGCATCTACAAGATTTTACGTTTTTACATACATTACTTGAAGGCAAATAATTGCTTTCATTGCTCTTAGTATAGGTGAAACATTGGTAGGTAGACTAAATTGGCATGTTGCTTGGCAGTTGTTGACCAGCTAGGTTCTTAGCCAAGTTCTCTGCTGTAAGATGTTTCAGTCTTCGAGTCAACTTTCTTTTGTCTAAAGCTATCTCTGGGGCGTACTCAGTTTGAGTCATATGGAAGTTTTTCTCATGGTGGGCAGCTCTCCTTCTGGAAAGTTGTTCTGCTGAAATGTTTGTTTATTTGGCCTGTGCCTTTTCAGCATGTTTTAATATAGCACATTCATATGTTTTGTTGTCGACAGCTCACAGTTTTATTAGATGGCCTTTGCTGGAGAGCATAAGAGCATTACAGCACAGGTGGCCTTGTCAGCAAGTAAAGCAGTTGATTCTCTATTGATTGGCTTTTTTTTTGGAGGACACCTGGGCAGTTATCCTGCTATTGGTGAAGTTACCAATAACAGCAGAACTAGTTATTCATAAACAAAACCTGGCTTGTTTAATGCAACAGAAGTAAATCTTACTGGGCAACAGAGCTGTGAAATCCATCAGTGAGAAGTTGGGGAAGCTTGAGGGAGTGTGAACTTTGATTTCAATGGGAAGTCACTGCATAGGGAACAAGTACGTATCTTGGTCCCAAAGGCTTGCTTTTTTCCTTATTATGTGGAGTAACTCCCTTCCTTTTTGCCTTATGCACACAGTGGCTTCCTATGTTCCTTGTGACAGAGCATCTCATTATGTGACCCCCAGCACTGTGTAGGAGAGAGTCCTCAGCACCAGCATGCATCTTGACAGTCCTTTTTGAAAAAAGAAGGTAGCAACTCCTGTAATGAGAAGGGATTATAGCTTCCTCCTTGAGCAAGCAGCCTTTCTTAGAGTTTTGCTGTGAGAGTGGGACAGTAATGAGAGGAAAGAGTCATGCTTTTTCCAGTGACAGTCTCCTTCCTTCTCCTCACATCATGCCTGTGCCTGCAGTGGCTGGTGTTCAGGGTTATTTCTTGTTTACATTTTCTGAGGGCCTTTTTCTTGTTGTGTCCATTCAGGTCTCGGTCAATCAGCGGCGCTTCATCTGGGCTCTCCACCAGTCCTCTCAGCAGTCCAAGGGTAAGTGGTTCTGCTTCAAGATCCGTTGGTCCAGTTCACTCACACATGCTTGATGCTTTTCAACATCTGTTGCTGCAGAGCCATGGCTCTTAGCTGGGATGTTTTGGTTTTCCTTCGCAGCTTGTAAATTTTCATGAGTGGTGAGGGAAATGATGTCTACAAATCCAAGCTGAGAATTTTCCATACATTTTCCCTGCACTATTAGAGGTACCTCAGGGATCTCACTGTGCCCCTGTCCTTTTTCAATCTCAGAAGTGCATTGAATAACATTGTTATGACTAAACACTGCTATTTCCAGCTGAGGTCTGTATATGACATGATTTCAGACCATGTATCAGAAACTGTTTCACAGCTACTTTCAATCAAGCCACAGCAGAGTATCAAGCCATGCTGGCTACAATCAACTTAATTCAGTTTGCCACAGAGTAGCTTGGATTAGAAACTCAAACAAAATCAGTTTCAGAAATTTGAGGAACAGCAAATTTAAAGGGAGAATAAAAGTAAATAAAAAAAGTAAAGTAAATTAATTGAGGGTATCGTAAATCCCCAGTAAGGTGTATACTATAAAGACAATCAGGTGTAAGTTTACAGGCTAGTAAAGCTTCCAACTCCTTGCTTGATTGAATTGTTTTCTGAAACATATTCTAGGTTCCCCTGTTTTGCAACTGACAGAAATATGTTTGCAGTCTCCTCTGTGTCTTTAGTGTACCAGGAACCAGTGAAGATCCATTTCCTTTCTTTCCTTGTTTGTGTACCTCTTGAATGGCAGTGGGATGAAGCAGATATCTGAGAATTCTCATACCACTGCAGAATGTACTGAGAAAGAGCAAAAAGAGCTGTGTGCATAAAATAAGCATCCAGAGCTGCAAACCTTAGACCCGATCTTTAATTGATCTCTTGGGATCAATTTCTGACATCTCAGTAGGACTACATCAAAGAATAAGGATGACAAGATCTGTTCCATAGTTGCTGTATCTTAACATTATTACTTAATAGGCAGTTGATTAAATAGTCTTCAAAGGGATTTAGCAGCCAGATGGCATTTTCCACAGTTCATAACCATTTTAAGGTAGGTCAGATTTGTGGCTTAGAAGGTAATGTTGGAATAAAAAAATTTTTAAAGTCCTTACCTAATAGCATCTTAGATTATTGAAAGGAGAATATACTTTAAAAATCAAATGCACATTTCACTGTATGCACTGCTTAGGTAAAGTTCTATGAGAAGTTGAATTCAGTGGCAACTAAGGGTTGTTAAATCTCACAGGATCTTGCTAATGGCTTTCCCTATTGCACAAGCTGAAAGACAGACATGATCTCGTTCTTTGTTATGTTACTAGAAATGTGGTAATTAAGGATGCCCATTCAGATTAGTAATGGCTTAAGTGGGAGTTTAATTTGACTTGTTGCTTTCAAATTTGTTTCTCAAATAGTCATGCACAAATGATTTAAAAATTGCACGGAAATGTTTGCAATCACCAGTTTTTGACTTTTATCATTTGAAGTCATTTGCAAATGATTAGTAGTCAGATGCTGGTAGTGACTTTTATAAATTAAGCACTTTCTTCATCTTTTCCCTTTTCCTTCTTGTTAGTGATCAGTATGAACCAAAATGTCAAACTTAATTTTAACTTTACAACTCTAACAGTAATACGAACTTTTTGATGCAGTGATTTTCTTTTAATTTTAATGGCCTAACCCTAAGTTCTTCAAGTAGAAAGCTCTGATGGAAACAATTTTAGACATCGCTTTAAATACATCTCAGCAAGTTAGAAACATGGCAGCATTGTGTTAATCCATCAAACCCAGAAAGTGAACTTAGTACTGCTGCATGTGCTTACCTGACATGTGGGACAGTGGCATGTCTGGATGTTGCCTGACTAGAGCTTCTAAATATTCAGAATGGATAATAATAATAGTAATGAAGATGATGAATGTTTCATGATAGTTAATAATTTGTAAAAAATCAGAACATGAATGCAGACCAAAGGTAAAGAGCTTGAGTGATAATGTCTATTTTTAAAAGTCTGCCAGTACTTGCAATCTGGGGTGTTAACAGCAATACTTTGTCAGGACGTTCATTTTGTTTTAAAAGTGACTTTTACGTGCAACTGTGCCTTGAAAAGGCTTCTGTCTTCTCAAGTCTGTGTACTGCTTTTCGCTGGTTCCATATGAAGTTTCCCAAAATGCCTGTTACATGTTTAGATGTTATTGTTTGGGGAAAAAAAAAAAAGTCATAATCCCATTTTTGATAACTCGATGCTGGATTATGAACTTTGTCTTTTTCTTTTTTTACGCTGTATCTTACAAACAGTGGTTCTCCCCATACCCTTTCACAGCATTGGGACTTAATGTCAAAGACTGCTGTAACTGTATGACAGAAATCTTAATTATCAAGCTGTCTTTGACAGCATGAGGGATGTTGCAGAAGCATAAAGACTGATGGGAAATATCATCTCTTCCCAGATAAATGAATTTTCCAGGCCTTTCTGAAATTTTTGCTATAGCTATTCACAAATTAAGCACCGAGTTGAGGTCACGTTTTCCTCTTGGCGCTATGTGCTATGAAACCCCGAGCGGATGCTGAGCAGCTTAACCATCCAGGCCAGGGGAGGAGGCCAGATGCCAACATGGCATCACTCTCCCTTAACTCCTTCCTTCTGCAAGGATGGCTGCAGCTGATTGTGCCTTAGCCAGAGTCAGGGGCAAAGAGGAGGGACAGAGGTTCTGACCAGTGTGTGCAGTAAGCTCTGTGTATCGCCTACCACTCCGTATGTATCACACACCTGTTTTGAGTTCCATTTCTCCACTAGGTTTGCACATGAGCACTTTGAGCTGAAAGAGTTGGTCCCATTCTTGACATATCTCAATTTGTGTGTGGCTTCAGTGATTCTTCTTCCCCTTCCTCACCTCCCTAAGCATTGTGCTTCTCTCACTGCAGGGCGATCAGAACAATCCCAGAGAGATGACATTTCTCTCTTCTTTTTTTCTTGATTACTTTCTTTCATTTTGTTTTTTACTTTTCCTTTGTTTTACTTTTCTTTCTGTTGTTTTCCTTTGCTGACACGTGGTTGGTTAATATGATGAAGCCTGTTATGACACTGTTGTTCTTGCTGCTGCCGCTGCTGCTGTTGTTGATGATGCCGTGTTCCCAGCTAACTGCATGTCTTTTTTTGTTTTTTGTTTGTTTGTTCGTTTTTGTTTCTTTGCAAAATCCCTCCCCCACTACCCCTTCACCTCCATCTCTTGTGTCCCCTTGTGACATGATGCATCTTTGTGACTCGGATGGATTTTATTCTGACTTTCCTTTCTCTGCTCGCCCGCTCTATGCGTATTTCACTGTTTTTGATGTGCATGGACACTCCGTGTCTGTCTCGTAGCCTATCAGAAAGTTCTTCATCCCCCCTCAGACCTCCGACCTCCCTTTCTCTCCCCGACCCCAAGTCTCCTTGGACCCTGATGCTTGTAGGAACGCCTCCAGGCCTGGACATGTGCTCCAACCAAAGCCAGCACTTCAGCCCAACCCAAAGACGCAGACTTTGCCATCCAAGAGCAAATTGGCCGAAAAACCACTCCAGTCTACTAAATCCAACCCACTCCCTTCCAGCAATACCAGCGCGCCCTCTTCCCAGAACAGCCCTGTGCAGAATGCCCCGGGCCGCTCGCCTGCTGCCGGCTTTAACCCACAGCTGGCTGTTCCTAAATTGCAGACCAACCCTATGTCTCCTGTTAGATTACTCCCTTCTAGTACTGACCCAAGCACCAAATCTATCCCCATCATACAGGTCACCCCTCACCCCTCTCCAAGGGGAAGTCCCCTCCCTACCCCCAAGGGGACACCTGTCCATACGCCAAAGGAGAGCCCAGCAGGCACACCCAACCCAACACCACCATCCAGCCCCAGCATTGGAGGAATGCCATGGAGAACACGGCTCAACTCAATCAAGAATAGTTTCCTGGGGTCTCCTCGCTTCCATCGCCGGAAATTGCAAGGTGAGTACTCTCCAGATGTACAGGGTGGGTCTGATTTGGGCAGCCATTCAGCAGCAAGTGATACTTCTCTTTGGCTCTCAAAAATTTCATGTGCCGAGAACTGAGTACTGATACAGCAAATGAAAGTGATAGCATCAAGCAGTGGTAGCTCGAAGTCTGTGTCAGCAGGCTCTGTAAATCCACTGCACTTGCTCCAACAGCGTCTCCTGAGCCCTCTTCACACTCGAGTAGTACAGACCTTAATATCATTGACATGGTTCTTAGAACCAAGGAACATTTTATCTTCAGATCATCACTTATTTTGCCAGCAAATCTAGAGCTATGGTATTTCACTATGCCTGTACTCTGCTGCCTGTTTGCAGCCGTGGGCTGAGCTTTCTGCTGAAAAAAAGACAGCCAGTGACAATAGGCTGAAATTGTTCTTTTGATGTACAGTTTGTTTGATCTTGGTTAGTGCTTTTTTTACCACCTCGGGTAATTGGTATAAAAACTGCCTTAATACAATCAGCGTTTTCATTTCCAGTGGCTGTTTTAGTTTTAAGAGTCTCTAGAGTGTTGAGATCAACAAAATTGTTTTCTTCAATCTCCACATAGCTTTTTGCATTCAGGAAAAGGGCACCCAAAGTCACATACACTGTCCTCAGATATAATCAGCAGCCATCCCAGTGCCAGGATCCTTTGGAAAGCAGGATATAGCCACGAAAGGGTTAGGTTTTGGGCTGTGATTGTCAGGGGCATTGTCCCTGAGGTGGCCAGAGAACTGCTGAGAATTGCAGCAGTGACTGAGTTTCAGCCAGACGGACTTGGAAGCAAATGGCCTGGTGTGGGAAATTTGTATATTTACATTGTCTTCTGAAAATTCCACAGGGATTCCTCATATTTTCAGTGACTAAAGGAAACTTTGCATAAAACCCCGTTGCATAAAGTGTGAGAATTGGCTCATGAAACAATAGTAAACAAGTTTTAAGGCAATCGGATTGGCATATGTTTGGGATTTTCTAGTGATGTAAGAAGTAGTAGAACATGCCTTGAAATGCATCACTTGATTAGATACAATAATCTAGAGGCACATGACCAATTTTAAATGTCAGAAGTTGCCTGCAGAGGCAATGGACGAATGAAAGGGTAGTGCAATGTCACGATTTTTTCACTGTTATCAAACCAGAAAAAAAAGAAGGTGTGCTGATTCATTGATTTCTTTTCTCCCTTCCTCTCTTTGGCTGTGTGTGCATGGGCAGTACCTACACCAGAGGAAATGTCCAATTTAACCCCAGAATCATCCCCAGAGTAAGTATTTTACCAATACTCTACTTCTTTTCCACCACCTGCCAACGTCACTTCCTAGCCTGTTTCTGCTCTGAATCAGTATCTGACTGCAGCCTGTTATATGACAAGTGGGACTGAGATGTCAAAATAATCCCTCTGCTAAGGGCCTGAGATAAAGTCAATACCTCAGTAATGGCTGTGGGGTCAGCTGGTGATGAAACTGTCTCATAGTGACCACCTCATTTTTACTCGTGGCTTGCTGAGTTTAGTAGTCTTGGAACATCTTCTCATTCTCTTCTTTCATTTGGTTCTCAAGCACATCACTCTTGGGGATAGTCAATGGCTTATACTGGCACTAACTGTGCAGTAGAGGGTCTTTCTCTTAGCACATGTAAGTTTGAATCCTCAGGATAGCATGCAGAAGCCTCTGCTCAGATGATTTAGAGGAATCTTTGGCTGGGATAGAAAGTGCAGTGTTAATTCTGGACAGCAACTCTGGGAAGTGGAGAAGCTGCTTCATATTCACCAGACTTATTCCTGAAAGTCCGTGTACATTTCAACCATTTAATGGCACAGCTGTGCGTCACTGCATGGCAGGTTTGGAAGTCCTTGCCAGAGAGTGCTGCTCCAAACACTTCCGAATATATGCAACAGATGCCAAATTATTCCTTTTTATTTTCACAGCTTGTGTTTGTGCACCCAATACCCATAGGCCTTCCCTGCCAACCAAGGCAATTTGGCCTTTCATCAAAATACTTGTGTGAAATATTCATGAGTCGTAGATGAAAATTGCAGGCCCAAAGTTTTGTAATTGGTGATAATGGTACTTTCCCTAGACCTGGCATGCTATAGTATGTGCAGTCTATTTCTAATGGTGCAGAATGGGCAGTGATAAAGACTACAGGAGAGGGAGAAGTAAGGAACAGTAAAGTTTAGTAAAAGAAATTCAGGAAGAAAAAATTGAATAAATTGTATTTTCAACATTTTGGACCATGTACTAATGGAGAGGCATGAGAGAAGTTCACAACATTAACACATCCTGACAGAATAAATACATTATATTCTCAATTATTTTTAAGGCTTTTAAAGCAAAAAAAAAAAAAAAACACTGAATTAGGTTTCTTCCCTTTGTATCCTCTTGTCTCACCTTTATGCATGTATGTTGGTTGAAGTTCTGTGAATTTATTGCCTTCTCTGCTTCCTACTCACCCTTTGAAAACTGGTGAATGAAACAGTGCCTATCATTTGAGGCAGTTTGGATGCAAGTCAAAGCCTAGGGCCCTTTTTTCTTTTTCTGTGTAATTGCCAAATTAATGAGTTCAATTGGGCTGCACCCTCCAGTAAACATAATAAAAGTCATAAAAAATAATGAGCTGGATTTTATTTTAACAGTTGATATTTCATTGCTCAGTGCCCACTTCCACACATCTTGATGGTTTTTTTTTTTCCTGCTGTTCTTTTCCTTTCTGTAAGAAATAAGGTGTCCTTATCAAGAGCTCTATTGACCTCATGGGTTGAGCAATAAAAATATATGTCCTTGATCTAGTACAGCATTCTTCAATGACTGCCACTCTTTTAACAAAACCTGGTGTTTAGATGATATGCTTTGATGTGTCTGGGTAGTGCTATTCTTTCTCATTTGAAAAAGTCCTAGAAAATGTGCCAGGGATGGCATTTAAAGAGACATAGCTCCAGCTGCTTTAGGCATGCAAGGCTCCAATTGCTTGTGTAGAAATGCTCTTATTTATGCCAAGCAGGTAGATTTACAGAGGTTGCGGATCCATGCAATCAGAGACAGAGAAGACAGTGAAGCACTGCAGTAACACACTGCAAAAGTAGAAAACAGAACATGACAGCAGTCAGAAATTCAGTGTGAAGTCATAAAGCACTTGCCTGTGTTTTCATGCTGATCTATTTGTTTTTTTCCCCTCAACTGAACACCTGATTAGATTCCCAATGGACCCAGCCTCCCATGTACCTTCTGTCTTCCTCCCCATTAGGAGGCTTGCCATCACAAGAAACGGTTATTTTCACTGTTTACAGCCTGATTTTGGAGGGTGCTAGAGCATCTCATTCAGATTGCTGAGCATCTTTGAATCATACCTGTTTTAATCCAAGTCAGAAGTACTTAGCACACCTCAAGAGGAAGAACACCCTTATTGTATGGTTTCACTCTGAAGTGGCTTCTTCTTCAGCAAACCTATTCTCTGTACAGAAGCACAGCTAGTTCTGCCATTGTCAAGGAGAAAAGTGAGTGCACGTGTGCTCTGTCTTGATCCAGTTCATTCCAGAAAGAGGAGAGACCACTGGCATCTATTCTGTCTCATGTGACTTGAGCAAAATTATGTATTGAATTCTAGTGATTTGCAAGCTGGATCATAGCCCAGGCTATCAGGGAGTCTTCCAGAGTCAGTGTTAGTGGTGATAACCTTGCTGAAAAAGAGAGCACAGCTGCACTCTGCAGACTTCAGACCAAGTTTCCAAGCTGAACAGGAGAAAACTCCTTGTGTTCTGTGGCCCTCCTAACCTGCACTCATTAAGAGACCTATAAATGAAGGCTCCACAAAACAATTAATAAAAATACAAATACGAAAAGTAGTATTTTAAGTTGGCAGACGTGCAGTTAAATATTCATGCTTTTTTCAAGTTCAGCTTCCAAGGAGCATGTGTGACATACATTGGGCCCCTTGAGTCCTGACAGCCAAGCCCAGTTCACATTATGATAGATCCCAGCCTAAAACAACCAGACATTTTAGATAGATAACCAGGTGCAAATTTACTAATGAGCATAGACCCCTTACATGCAGGGAGCTATTGCCCCAGCTCTCTGGGGGCTTGCAGAGTTGTTATGGTACGTGTGAGACACATGAGCTAATTAGTGTGTAATTTCCTTTCACACTCTAACCCTGGCTCCTTAACGACCCATTTAAATGAGAGCCCCTTTCTCTTTACTGCTCTCCATGCTAATCTTTGGCTCACTGGTTTAGTTACAGCTGCCTCTGAATATTTTAGGGAGTGACTTTTCCAGCCCACTTTAATTGGGTGGGGGGCAGTGATTTACTAAATTGCAAATGAATCCTTTTGTACTCTTACCTCTATAATGGGTGGACACAAATGAGTATTTGCACAGCTGAGGTGCAGTATTTCGATGCTCCTCTCTTGCTTCATCTCTGCCCTTCCTCATTCTGTGTCTTTGCTGCCAGGAAGGGGTTCTCCTAATAATTAGCTGTTCAGCACTTTTTTGGGGTGCACAGCAGTCCTTTGTGCAGATGGCTTTCCTTTACTGCAGTAGCTGGTCTGTAGATTGTCTTGTTCTGTTGAGTGGTGAACATCCCCTGGAAGTGAAAGCCTAATTGCTTGCCATGGCATCATAAAATATCCAGTGGAGTGAAAAACTTGTTCATGGCAGGTCTTTTCATCTCTGGCTTTTTCATGCTAAATTTTTCTTTGCTAGAATATGATCCCACGTGACAGTGGGATTGAATGCACCTTCAGCAAGTTTGCAGATGGCACCAAGCTGAGTGGTGCAGTTGACATGTTAGAGGGAGGGGATGCTATCCAGAGGGACTGGGACAGGCTTGAGAGGTGAGTCCAGCCAACCTCGTGAAGTTCAGTAAGACCAAGGGCAAAATCCTGCACCTGGGTCAGGGCAATCTCAAGCACGGATGCAGGTTGGGCAGAGAATAGCTTGAGAGTAGCCTTGAGAGAAGGATTTGGGCACGGCAATTGAAAGATTCAGCATGAGCCAGCAATGTGCGCTTGCAGCCCAAAAGGCCAACCATATCCTGGGTTGCATCAAGAGAAGTATGACCAGCAGATTGAGGGAGGTGGTTCTCATGTCTGATGGCATCTTCCTTCCCCTCAAAGCCTTTACTCTCAGAGGTACTACCTTCAAGTTCTGAGTAGTTTCCCCCGGTAATATACGTGCCCCATTTTTCCTTTAGCTGATTTAACTTAAAAGTGAGTTTCAACAAAGTGCATCAAGAAGATGGAACAATAAGCAAAATCAAACATTTGCTGTTATGACCAGTGTGAAAAACAGAAGAACTTGATTTTATGGTGATGCCTCCATCTGATGCTGAAAGAAACGATGGAGTTGGACTGCTGTCTGTGGAAAGCCCGCACTGTGTTTTGTGCGGTGCTGAGATCTTTGTTAGTGCTGGAAGTTCGTTCTTTTGTAAGAAAGCCGGAGTTTGTTCCTTATTGAACTCTTGCTGAATGGGACTGATGAATGGAAAAGTCTTTGTCATGGCTCTATGGGTAGCAGTGGGTTTCATTTGCAGGCAGATTGAAGGGCCAATGAAACCTTGAGCTTGCTTTAAAAAGTGACTGTCAGTCCAAGAAGACACATTTGGGAATGGAACTTTCCAAGTCTAGAAACAGCAAAGGGGCTGAAATGGGCATGAGTAAACTTAAACTGCTGTGCTGACAACACCCGCTATTGTCACAAAAATTGAGATCCCTGGAGACATCTCAGAAACATGTCCCCAGTTTTGCAAAGTCTGCACCAGAAGCAATGCCTTCTATGTTATTATGTCAGCCCACGACGTCAGAGGCAGATGTTGGTGGTATGGCAATAGAGGTTGAACCTTCCCACCAATATTCAGTTACATTTTGTTGCTGTGCGATAAATGGCAGCAGAGGGGCAGTCAGTTGGAATGGCATCTGACATGGAAGTGCAAATGAAGAAGTGGGATTCCACTGAATTCCTCCATGTGGAAAAAAGTGACGTCCATTAACATTTATTGATGTTTGCTGAACATTTATGGAGGCCAACCAGTGGAAGAGAGCAGTAAGGTGATGGTGATGTGTTTCAGCAGCAGTGACAACAACAGTGGGGCACCTGATTCAGATTTTTCCAAGTGCAACACGCAGGCTCCTGTTCATAGGTAGTGAAAATGCAGAGCTAATGGTGGTGACTGTGTTGAAAAATAATGTTTTGCAGCTGAGAATTTGTTCTATCACATAGTGTTGTCATGCTTTTCTATCTGTTGTAGTTCCATGGAATTAAATAGGAGGCATTGCTTTTAGAGAGACCTATGTGTATGAATTATGTACATGGCATATTAATTAGTGTATTGGCTTTATATAAAAGTTACCATTGCTGCTGTTCTTTTCATGGCTGATCACGCATCTTGCAAGAGTTAACAAGGTGGGGACTGTTACTTAAACAGTTTTCACTAAGTGAGTGGGATATTCATAGACTCTTTGAGCTACCTGTTGTAGTAAAACCACAACTGGAGCATTACCAATAATTTCTTGTGCAGTTTGTAAGTATTTTTTTTTTCTATTTGGAAGGTATCTAAGAACCAGTGCTCAATATTCTAAATCATGTCTTTCTTTTTCATTATGTCAGGCTTGCCAAAAAATCCTGGTTTGGTAACTTCATTAATCTGGAGAAAGAAGAACAGATTTTTGTGGTCATTAAGGACAAACCGCTAAGCTCCATTAAGGCTGATATTGTCCACGCTTTCCTGTCGGTAAGTCAGCCAAGCTGCCTGTTAGATGCATTGCTCACTGGTCAGATCTGGGACTCACTCTGCCATGTCTGGATGAGGTGCTACCAGTTGATGAGGAGCTACAAGATACGGTTTAGTAGCTTGTGGTAGCCAATGGTAGTGGGAGGATGGTTGGACTAGATGATCTTGCAGGTCCTTTCCAACCTCGTGATTCTATGATTCTATTTACTGGGCAGGGTTTCTTCTCCTTCAGGTTCATCCTCTGTGCATTTGATTTACGTATCGTGTTGATTCAGGCCTCCATTGTGTTCTGTCTAAATTTCTAACTGAAGAAAATATTCTGTGAGAAAAGATTTCAGCCTTCTGAAAGGTGAAGTCTCCAGGTTGGCAGTGCTTGGAATTTTAGTGCAGTTAGAGAACACTGGTAGTACAGCATCAAGACAGGGATTTGCTGCTTTGTCGCATTTCTCTTAAGGTCACCATCTATGCAAAAGTCTTGGCTTCCCTGGCTATGCTCTCCACCACTTTAATCAGACAAAAACCTGTGCCATGTCTGCTTTTATTACTTTAGATCTTCTCTTCTCAGCTTTATGACAGATAGAATGGTAATTTCCTCTGGTGACCAGAGTCTCAGTTGTTGTACATATTCCTTATTTACAATCCAGGATAATCTGCAGTTTTAGCAGAGGAAAATGTTTTTTTTGTTTGTTTTTTTTCCAACAGAAAGTCCTTATTCTTACCATTTGCAAGTACTGATAAGGAAAAAGTCAGTACAATAAATTTAATTTGCAAGGTTTTTAAATTCAAGGATGTTTGAAGCATACTGAGACCTTATTTTCCAATGGAATTGAGAGAAGGCAGCTCAATTTCTTATCATAGATCTTATCATAGATTCTTATATAGTTTGTTGAATTGTATTGTTTTCCAAAGAATATTAGTCTCCTTTTTAGTCTTTATGATGCTGCAATGAATTTCTTCCAAAAACAAAAATTCAGTTCTTTTAACTGTTCATACACAGTGCTGGCATACAGGGAGTGTGTGCAGTATGTATCAAACATTCTACCATCAAACAATCCATCTCAGGTTGGTTTGAAGCAGCGATGTTCCTGTACTGGTTTCATGCTTTTAGCTGTGCTTCTGGGTTTAGCATAGTGTGCACCACTGTTTATACTGGTGATCCTGTGCATACCTGCACATCTGTGGGGTGAGATGCAATGCGGTATGCAAACTCTATGAATCATCTCTGCAGATAACTTCTAATTAAACATATTGTCATAGCCTGATAAGTAAGTCCTTAAGGACACCTTGAAGAACTCATCTCTCATAATGCTTCCTAAATTAGAAGCCAGATTTCTGAATGGTTTGGGAAATCTTTTGAAAATTTTGTCCTTTGAGAAGCAATAAATAAAATATGAGAGTAAGTTAAATTCTGGCAATATCTGTTGTTATTGACTGCCTGAAAATTAGTGAGTTGTGAAATCCTACTGTAGGTCTGATGATACTGGATTACGCCAGAAAGCTTCTCAAAATTGTTTTATGTATTGATAGGAATAGTGGTTTGGGTAAGTACACATATTGTCCCTGTGGATATTCCAGACACTTGTCTATGTGTCTGCTACTTGTCCTGATGTCTCTTTAGCGTAGAATCACAAATTCAAGTCCAGAAGAAAAAACAAATCTTACAAATTTTGCAGTTGTTTCCTTTGCGCACTGTACCGTCTTCTACCAACCTGTTTCAGATTCCAAGCCTCAGTCACAGTGTCATCTCACAGACAAGTTTCCGTGCAGAGTACAAGTCCACAGGAGGTCCTGCTGTCTTCCAGAAGCCGGTTAAGTTCCAGGTGGACATAACATACACAGAAGGGGGAGAAGCGCAGAAGGAAAACGGGATCTATTCTGTCACTTTCACACTCTTATCAGGTAACCATGGCAAAGCTGCAACATGGGTGCAAGTTGTCTTTGGCCTTGCTGATATGGAGGCCTGTAAAGATATTTCTGCTAGAGCAAAGGATATTTCTGCTTGACCTCAAAGGAAGGTTCCAACAGTGGGCAAAAGGAGGATATTGGGATCAAGAAGGCATTGGTAGTAATGGAAATGGTGGGAGGGCAAAACATTCCCTAGAGGTGAAGTTGCCATCACCATAATTAATACTGCATAACTAATGCTGCTCTGTTCATCAGATTTGAAATACTTCCCTATGCTACATCCTTGCTTTACTCAAAGGTCTCAGTATCTGACTTGGTCTCTGTGGGCCAATGATTTCTCCCTTCTTACAGAAATATGTGATCTCTTTTTTTGCTGGCTCATCACATGCCACGCACAAAGTTTAAATTAAAAGTATAAGGAAAAAATGTCCCCAGTCTTTCCTATCTTTACAAAATAAGCCATCTTTCCTTTTGCTGAGTCCAACATGGTGAAGCTTGTATTTATATTGGGACTTCATAATAGTTCCTCAAAGTTGTGCATTTAGGTGAAGCATAGCTATGCTGTATGTACACTTAAGGGATGAGACGGAAGGGAAGATGTTTGTGACCCTTTCCCTCCAGCCTGTGTTACATGAGGATTCAGTTCGCACTCCTCTCACAGCCATTTGTGCCTCTTCTCTCCTCACAGGTCCAAGCCGTCGTTTTAAGAGGGTAGTAGAAACCATTCAGGCACAGTTGTTAAGCACACATGACCAGCCTTCAGTGCAGCAATTATCAGGTAAGTAGTTTCTGCTGTTGAGCACCTTGCTTCAGAAAGGACAGGAAGACAAAGTGCCTCTCAGTACCAGGAGGCTGAGGGAGGCCATCCCTCTGATTACAGCAAGAACCAAGCTCCATTCAGACAGAGCAGTAATTTCCTGCACCCACCTTCCCCCTCCCTCTCATCCCCACTCCAACGCTCCCAGCGCATTCCCCAGTTGAACAGCTTTTGCCCTCCTCCCGCCCAAAGAGCCATTTGCCCACTTCTCCATCAAAGGCTGCATTATCAGTTGATATTCCAGATATTCTCAGGTTCCATAAGTTCCCAGAACAGGGACACAGTCTGGAAGATATCCAGTTTTCAATCTCTTCAGGCGTGCATTAGAAACCTCCAACTTCAGAAGGTTGCAGAAGAAAGTTAAGTGCTGCTTTTAAGTAGCCATTAACTACAGTGTTTTCAGATGTTGGAAGGTGGCTGATAGTTTCCAGTAGTGCGATCATATTCCTAGCCCAGTACTGTGGTAGCACAAGTCGTATGCTAAGGTTCTGCAGAAACTATATTTTATTGGTTTTTAAAATAGGTTCCAATTTGTCGTGGTGGTAAAGAAAGGCTTACAAGTATGGCCCTGTGCAGTGACATCAATCTGAATCTGCAGGCAGCCTGAGATGATAATACAGAAACTGGCCTCATCCCATCGTTATGTAGCAAATGAGCACTCTGACAACCAGTGGTGACACTAGGAAAAAAGTCAGTGTTAGTTCTTCTATCCTTTAAGAAGACAGAACAAAGGAAGAAGGTGAAAATGGAAAATGTAAGGAAGCTCAGATATTGGAAATGCTTCAGAGAAGGAAAAGTAGGGAGAAACAGAAAGACCATAAAGATACAGGGGACAGATGGGAGCAAAGGAGAGATTGGGGGCTGCAGGAAGAAGAGACAGGGGGAGTGGGAGGAGTTTTCCCATCATACGGGAAAAGGTAGTATGTACATATTCCTAAGAGCCAAGTGATGTGCTTTACCTTTGTGTGAACCAGCCAAGACAACATTGCAGAATGAAATCTGCATAGGATCATACAGTTAATTGTTAGGCCTCCTTGGCTCACTGCACATATGGGTTACATCCTTCTGGTCTAACAGTGTGGCTTTAAGCTGAAGAGAAAATAACTCTGTCTAGAAGAGTGTGAGCTCACTATGTGACAGAAGAGTATGCTCAGCTCAGGAAAAATTATTTTCCACTTTACTTTTGCCTTCCAGCACTGCCTGACCTTCTGCATGCTGGATTGCAAGGGTGCCCAGCACATGGGTTATTCTGTTAGGAAACAGAAAAGGTGAGGATGTTAGAACCAAGGCTGACTCCGATTTTTGCTGTGTGAATTTCTGAAATAAAATAAAATTCAAGGAAGCAGACAGAATTTTCTACCAGCTTTTTCTCTTGGGAAATGCTGGGACCAAGTGAGAGTAAGGGTAATTAGCTGAGAAAAAAATGTATTCTCTATTTCACATTACCACTGGTGTGTGAACAATGGTCAACCATTCCTTGTCTCTTTCAGAAAGAAGTGTGCCCTTACCCTCTATGAGGGAAAAGCTATTAAAAAAATTAAATGATGTGATCTTTCTGAAATTCTTTACCCTAGCATGTGCAAGCTACTGAGGCCATACAGAAAAACTTGGACTCTGTTTCACACTTACATATGAAGAAGGGTATCTCTATAAGAAAGTCATATTGTAGCACAAATAAAAGCCATTCATCTGACTGAGGCTCAAGAGATATTTAGCGCAAACTGTACTGTGAGAAATGCATCCTACTTACAGTTTTGCTCTGATTCTGGAATGGAGAAATTATATTATAGACACAGAGTCTCCTTCTATTGCCTAAAGCTACATTGGAGTAATTCATTCTCGCAGAGGAGATGCAGCCTGATCTTTAAAGTTGGGGAAAGTGCAACTCCACATGGAGTGTTAAGAACGAGAACTCTGTCATTCAGGTAGTTAGCTAGACAAGGCAGCTCACAAGAGATACGGCACCAGACTGTCCTGTATCTATCATCTATCCTGATCAGCAAGATGCATTTCTCTTGGAGAGAAATTATTTAACCTGAAAAACATAGTTTGGAGAAGAATCCAAGGGAAAGAGAGAAAGGAAGTGAGATTATTGGTGAGATTACTGTGGAAAAGATAGCCTGTGATTCCAAGTAGAGAGGTCCCATGATTCACATTCTCATCCAAAATGAAAGAGAAAATAAATGGATAAAGGAACTGCAAAGAGGTCATGTTTAGCACCTTGGGTGTACAACCACAAGCTGGCTGGCTGTGGTTGGATAAGTCTGTGCAGGGCTTCCTAGAAATTGCAAGTTATTGATCAGCAATTCTTACTCACATAGAAGCAAGACAAATTCTTCTCCATTTCTCTTCTTCTCCCACATTCCCAGCCCTGAACATCTCTCAGGAATTAAGGTGGCTGGAGTCCTATTTAGGTTCATGTTTTGAGGATGACCTGTAGGCAGTCCCCTGCTGGAACAGAACAAGCTTATGGTTCACTTAGACTCTCCTCCTCCATGGCTTTGAGGAGCAATGCTGACTAGTTTGCTCCCCTGCCAGTGCACTGGAGATTTTCACAGCTCACTGTGCACAAAGGTATCTTCTGTGCAGTTGTCTCCCCTGCCTTTTGGTTCAGGTACCTTTGCATGCAGGATGGTGAAAGCTGCCTGTGAAAGCGTGCATGTAAGGTGGGATCTGCAAAAGGACAAGACAAATGAAAGCAGGGTGAAATAGAACAGCAAGGCCCAGTAAGCATATGGCACTGACAGTCATTCTCTCTCCTGCTCCTCTTTGATCTGTTATGCAGCATGCCAGCCCACTAAGCCGGCTTGCCTGGGTTTCAGAACGCACTTTCTTCTTTCTCATTTCTTCCAGCTCACAACAGTGTTTGTAGATGTCATGTTGCCCATACATCTGTGTGTGTGTGAGTGTGTACACATACGTACCTGATGTAGGCAGATGTGTTTCTATGTCTCACTTGAGCACCCTGTAATCTCCCTTCCCCATGGATATCCCTGCATTCACTTCCATTTTCCCTTCCTAAAACTGTGCTTATTTCTTCTGACATATTCTGAAGCAGGAAAACAGCTTCCCTCCCTTGCTGGAATAAATGTGTAAATAAATGCAATCCATTCCACGTGCTAATCTATTACTTTTTAAAGCCACTGTCCAGCGGCCAAATTCAGTACAACATGTCAGCCTTCTACCTTGATGCTTCAGGACATGAAATCTTTTGTGGCGTAAGTGCTGAAAGGGCCTGCAGACTTAAGATTGGCATGAAATAGGTAGACAGACACTCCATCCAGGAGCCCCGTACTCAGAATCTGCTCTGTAATCCCCAGGCAGGACTGCCCTTTGAAGGAAGAAAGTGATCTCTTTGGAAGGAAAAAATCACTGGTTTTGGCCTTTGTTTCAGCCCAGTACACTTTCCATTAAATCGTAATTTGTTTTCCTCCACAACACCTTTGCCCAAAAGTAATAGAAACAGCTGGTGAATGGGGGCACACAGAAGCCATCCGTGTTCATTCACAGGTTATCAATTTTTATTTTCTTAATATTTTCTTGCCTTTTTAGGCTTTGCTTTTAGGTGTGGGGTGCTGCTTATCCTAACTTTTAACTCATTTTCCCGTGTTTTAGGCAATCAGCAATGCTGCAACAGCCTTCATAACTTCTTTGTAGTAGGTTTTCTGTTTTATTGTATTTCTTGGCTTCATATCAGATTTTAACCATCAGCATTTCAATCAGAGCTTCTTGATATTACTGCTGAAAATGCCTTTCATCAACATAAACAATTGTTTAGAGACCACATCCAGTCTCAAAATAGGGCAGTGCAAATTCTTTCTGATGGCATGTATCTTCTGTATATATTCACCTGAGCTCTCTTACTGTCCTAGTGTATGTCTCAAAGAGAAAAAAAAAGCAGATGTTCACGTGATTCAAAAGCTTTGATGGAGATTTGTGCTTTCTGGGTGTTCATCTTTATGGCCCACAAGTGCTGTGGGCTGCCAGATAGCTACCAAAATAATTAGTAAGAAGTGGTTTCCAAATGTGCAAAGGATTTTATTATCATCAAGACAGAAAAAAGGGAATATAAAAATGCCAGTTTGGAACTGGACCACCATCAGTTTTATCTGGGGCTCATCCAGGTCCCAGCTTAATCTTGTTTTCTGCATTCCTTCATGCCTTCACCACTCTCATAGTCTGAGGCAATGCTTTGTCTTGCTGTCATAATTCCCACCTATAAAAGGCACTGTGTAATGCCTGATTGGTTTGGTAGAGCACTGGTTTCACTATACAACTTCACTGTTACTATTTGACAGACCTCACTACAATTAACTGGGTTGTCCTGAAATTAAGCATGGAAAAAGGAATCCAAGCACTTCAGAGTTGCGGTAGGAGAACTGTGCATTTCAAGTAGGCACCCAAACAGTGGGAAGTTCCAACCTCTGTGGTTGGAATCCTGGATTTCCTGGGCTGGGACAAGACACCGTTCCAGAGACATCAGAAGCATCACAATCCAGGCTGTTTGACTGTGAAATTTGTGAAGGATAGAAATACAAATTACAGGGAAAAAAAAAAAAAAAAGAGAAAAAAAGAAAGGAAATCAGGAAAGAAAATCTGTCAGAACACTAGGGATTTTTAATGGATTCAGAGCTTCTTTGACCTTTTCATGTTCCAATAAGGAAGGTCTTATTTTAACCAAATCATTTGTCATCTGTTAATGAACTAAACTGAATGTCATTTATGGGAGAGTCTTGGTAACAACTGAAGCATGAGTGACTGCCAGCAATTCCTATGAAACAAGGGATTGCCTTATCATCAGAAGGGTTGAGTTCTGCCACTGCCATTCTGCTTTAATTAAAAAATTAAACAACATACATTAAAAATGCCATTACATGACCCATCAGTGCTTCTCAGGGAGCTAAATGCCTTTTTGGACCTTGACATTATTCACCTCACATAACACCTTGATCCCACAGATACTGGGTTGTTACCCATGAGCAGAAGCCTGCTGCCAAGAATCTAAGGCTTTCTAATAAGGATGAAAATTCTGCTTTGAAATAGCAAATATTTTGTCATATAGAATACTTATTAAAGCAGATGTTATAAGATGATGGAAATTAAAGAAGTATTAAAGTCGTTATTATAAGAAGTAAGCTAAAGGCATATTAACTCTATTAGTCTCTCAGGAGATGTGGTAATAGCTGCTGCTTCTGGCATGCTCTTGTTTGCTCTTCTTTAGGAATGGGGAGAAAACAGCTGATCTTGTATTGGGAAGACATTACAGATAGAAATGGGAATGAGAAACAATCTTTTAGTAATACTTGAGAGTTTCCTTGCTCTTAATGTGTTTTTCTGTGCTCTTTCAAAGCACAGGTAGTGCTGACAGCTGGGCGACTGCTCTGAGCTCTACCATTATAGATTTGTAGTTATTGCAGCTGGGTGTAGTTGACTCAGAGTTGGACAGGAAACAGCACAAGGCATCAGATGGCTAACTTCTCCAAGTTACTAAAGAAAAAAAAAACAATGCAAGCTTCTGATTGTGACTCCTTGTCATTGACTCAATCAGCAGCGCAATCAATTGACTCAATCAGTAGGCACTTCTTAAACCTGTTAGGCATCTTCAGGGAGGAGTGTTTTTTAGGAGTTTAATTTGCTTTCTACTCAGAACATCCAGTGACAGGTGAACTCCCCACCTATCAGACATCTTGTTCCGGATCCTGAATCCTGTCTTCTCCTTCACCTCCTGTTTTCCTTTGCTTCTTTTAGTCATGTGCCTTTCTGGGAACGCTTCCGTGGGTTTCATCTCCCATTCAGCGCTGCCAGCCTGCCTTCAGCCTTGGGGATGTAATGTCTCCTCAGATGCTTTTTGTACGTCACTGTGACCAGGCACCTGTGCTCTCTCCTCCTTGCATTCCCAGATGATAATATGAGTACAGGCCTGGTTCCATCAGAAAACACATCCATGCTCTTCTAGCATGGATTCAGCATACCTAGGCAAACCCAGCGCCCCTTCCTCACCTTTTCAAATTACTTTTCTGTGGAAATGAATGCTGGAAGTGGACCTACCCTCTCTCGTGCAGACTGTTTAGCAGATAGAGAATAGTTAGATCTTCCTGGCAGACAGGGATTTGGGACATATGTATGCATGTTTCTGAGAAACCTATTTCTTCCAATACCTGGGTGCTTATTTAAAGGTCAGGCAGGAGAAGACCCAAAACTAAACTGAGTGATGTAACTGGTACCTGCTGGCTCCTCAGCAACTGCCCAGCACTCAGAAACACAACAGTGAGGTCCCACTGTCAGGGCACCCTGACTGACAGTGACAGATCTTGCTTGCCTGCATGTTCTACAGGAAAGTGGCCAGCAGGACTAGTTCTCTGCATTAAAGCTTACACGTAGAGCTCCTTCTTGCTTATTCCACCTGAGTTAAAAGCATTCGGAGGCTGTGGCAATGGGAGCTGTGCACAAAGTGAACAATAATGTCTTAGATAGATTCTGTTACCCTTTCTGGAAGTAATTTTGTTGCCTGTGAATGGTGCCATTGAAAGCAAGAAGATAAGAGACTACATGTGAATGATAGAGGCAGAATTGTGTTGAGGACTTGGGCACTGGGCTTCTAAAAGATGTTTTTGAGTTATGTAAGTAGCCACCTGTACATGTCCAGTAGCACAGTGCTGCATTCTCTCCCTCCCTCAAACCTTCAGTGTACATAGCTCAGCTGGCTGGACATTGCCCGTGTGCTGCAGAATAATCTGCAAAGCTGTCCAGGGGAAAGAACGTATTTCTAGTCTTTTAGTTTGTTAGTGTAATGGCAGAATGCTTCCGACATCTCTTGAATACTCATAGCTATGATAAAGATGTGGATGGAAGCAGCAGGACTGAGGCAAGCTCCACTCCCAGTCCTATGGCCAGGTGTGCACTGGCATAAAGTGGGTGGCAGAATTTGGCTTAGGTTGTGTAAAATCCAAGATGTGTATGTTTCCTGCTTCAGGTAATAATGTGCTAAGTCACTACTTTATGCACAGAGGTATGGAAACCTTTTTTTTATGTTTTTCCCTCCCTCCCTCCTCTTTCCGTTCTATGATCTAGACACCACTAACTGTATGGAGTTGATGACTGGCAGACTTTCCAAATGTGGTAAGAACTTCCTTCCCTTCTGCCTTTTCTCCTTCCCCAGTCCCTGCTGAGCAACATAATAACGCACCGCCCTGTCCCTTCCACCTCTTCCCCTTCCTTATCCCTGCTCTCCCACGCTCTTTTCAAGACTACCCAACATGTACAAGCCCACAGTGTCCTTCTCTTACCCGGCAGACACAAGCATATACTCCTTATTCTGTTCCTCCTCATCCATGCACAAGATGCACAGGCTCCACCACGGCTTTCCCCTTCATAGCACAAGTGTGTGGTGTTGCACTTCAGATTCCTTCCCTCACTGTCACCCAGACCAGTAATTTTCTGTTCTTTTTCCTTTTGTTTTCCTTTTTTTTTTCCTTTTTTTTTGTTATTGTTGATGTTGTTGCTGCCTTTGATTCGTAATTCTTCAGTCCCTTTTCAGCAGTAAAGCTGAATGCTGCCCTGCTAGCTGCTGTCTCCCTTGGTTTCCTTTGATTTATTGAGACAGAATTGCTCTGTTACTTAATTCCCTTTTGCATCCACTCCCTTCTTTTCCATGTATGTTTAGGGTAAGGCCCTTTTAAATCTTCCATAAAATGCACTGCATATTATCTACCAGACATTTAGCCAGACATTTAACTGTCATAGTACCAGTCTGGTCTTAGGGAACTGTGTTGTGTTTCTAGCTGGAGGACAGTGAACCTTTTGGAGATTTAGAATTTTGTTAGGAATGACAAAAAAAAAAAAAAAAAAGAGAGAGAGAGAAAAGAAATAAAGAGGAGTTTTCTGCAAAACTTGCATCTCAGCTTGCTTGGGGTTCCATGAATTTTGGTTAACTTGTCCCTTGCCCTCCTTCTGCTCTGTGCACACATGAACTATTCTTCCCTTCCTTACCTGTGGCCTGACTGGCTCCTTCAAATACAGTAGTGGAAATACCCAAATGCTAAAAGATTGGGTGTTTGGGGTTTTTTTGCTCTTACATCTTGTATGGAAAGGTTCTGTGCAAGAGAAATCTGTTCTCGTAGGACTTCCATTCTGGTAACTGGGTTGAATTCAGACATTTCTGTGCAAGGGAACACAAGCTGTTGAGGAAGTGATCACTGAGCTGGTACTGCTCTCCAGCTGGACCTGTGACTCCTGCGTCATCTCTTTGTAAACTGAGGGAAGTTCTTCTGGAGTCGTTCCACAATCAAGTTGTCACAGTGGAGATAATGTTAGGTTTATGCATGTGTGACTGAGAGCAGAAATTGTTCTGTATTTCAGATGACTCCTTTTCCTTAAAGAGCAGATTTGATGATATTTTTTTTTCTCTGAGGAGAGCTCATATGATTTCTTATTTGAGTTTTCTGGTTTACTCTGTTTCTGATCTCTTCAAGAAGACTCATTTAACTTGTAGGGAGACCTCCAGCTTTGTCTTGAAGGTACCAGACAGCAAATCTCTCTTCTTCCTCAAGCCTTTCTTTCTTGCCCGGATCTGACATCCACATCATATGATAATACTGTAATGCTGATTGTGCTGATTGCTTGCAAGTTAATCAAGCTACACAGATAACCAGCCAGTCCTCTGCTCTCTCTAGATAGAGTATTACTGTTCATTCCCAGCTCAGGTCCTTCAGCTGCCACAGTGTCAACATCCATCAGGGACAAAGACAACAAGGTGATGGCCAGAAGGGAGACTGTTTTGTGGCAGCTACAGTCTGAACAGAAGATGTAGGTAGATCTAGAAAAGAGAAAGGAAGGGTTGTCAAGGTAATGGAGCTGCTTCCTTTGAATCAAATTGCCTTTGGTGTGTTCATAAAAAATGGAAGTAGTGATGACATTCACTGTGCTGAATACCACCCTCCTAAATATGTGAAGAGCTATTTCATGCACAAGAGAGCTCGTCCAACATTTAGTCAGGGGAGTAAAGGGGAATGAATTGGGATTTTGCCTAGAATTGGCAAACTGTCCTCTATGACTTTGAGGATGGGCATAGTCCTGTGGAGTTGGCACAGAGTTCATATAGAGACGGCCAATAGAGTAAGAAAAACTATGCTGAGCGTTTTTGTGACGTTATCATTGTTCCACATTCTGAGAATGAACATAAAAGGCATTTTTGCAAGAGTTAGCACTGGAGCAGGAAGAGCAAATCAAAGGTTTTATGCCAGGCTTAACTATGTGAAAGCTGTGGTGGGAATGAGGAGTATCTCTTCACTCAATATAAACCATTGTAATTAGCAGCAAGGCAAATTTGTTTAGCCCTTTAAATATTAACCTGTCTTCTGTTAGCAGTCATCATCAGTCTGAGATGTGCTTTTGCATTTAGACATTAGCATTGAAAAGTAGTTCTTGTACAGCTGAGGTATGTCATAGGAGCTGCCAGTGTTCAAATGCTGCCACTGTATCTGTTCTATCTGTGCACACTGGTAAACTGCTGCCAAATCCCAGTGTTTCACAAGAGAAGAAAATTGTTTGTCTCATGATCAAGTTGAAATGCACTCAGGGATGCAGTATTTTATTTTGTTTCCACCTGTTTCAGCAGGGGAAGGAGCATTTCTAGTGTCAGGAAGACTTAATTGATTTTTGTGAAGTCTTTAATATCTGTGTATAAGAATAACTTTGCCTTATAATAGCCCTTTACGTTTAAAATGAATCTGTAGCCTGAAAACTGCCTGTAGAAGTGATACCTTCTAGCTTAGCTGATCTTTCCCTTGTGTATTCAGAGCCAAATCAGTTTAGTGACAAATAAGCTTTACTACTTTATGTGCTGCCATTAAGCCTTATAAATTCAACATAGCTGTAAAAAGGTGAGCTAGATTTAGATTCTTTTGAGGCAGGATTGAGAGACCTCTTTACTATCATCTAATCTGGTATTTATGTCTACCTCATTGAAGAATGGATTGTATGATTAACACTGAGGTTCTAACAGGTACTCAAACTACTAAGGCTGTCAAGCTTTGTAGTTTGAGTGTGTTGGATCTGGAACCATTGATATATACCACACAGAAGCCCACAGTGCCATTTCACTAGTCCTCGTTCAAAAAAGAGTCTGTCTTTATGAGCTTGAATGACTTTAAGGCCTTTAATAAGTGAGCTGAGAGTTTATTTGGATGGTTGAATCAGTAGTGAAGCTGTTTCATAGCCTTTGATAACTCCTTTTCCCAACCGTCTCTAATTTTTTAGAGTCCTTAGGAAGCATGTTTCAGCAAGGTGCTGGCTGCTGGCAGAAAGCTCAGAAATGCCTGTCTCATTCTTCACATTACCTTCTGAGAAACACTCACCAGAGAGCCTGTGAACTCCCCATTCTCTATAGGGGATATATATATATATATATATATATGGGATTTATATATATATATATATATATCTCAGCTGTCTGGGGCTGAGTTTTATTTCCAAGTAAAGCAGTTTTCTTTGTTGCTTTCATCCCTCATGAATGTCAGGAAGTTTTCAGTTACGTCACAAGCACTTCAAGAAAATGGGAGATTATTACTGTATAATTAGCACAGCCCCAGTCAAATCTTGCTGCTGTGCTCGGCATTGCACAAGCTTACTTTCTTGCAAAATCTTAGACCATAACTCTGTGACACAAGAATAGTCAGAAGACTATTTGAAAAATAAAAATGCTTATTTTTATACATCCCATGTTGCTGCTTACAGTTTGAAAACTGAATTCCTGGCACCAGTTAAGCAAGAAGCTTTAAGGATCCTCGTGTGAACCAGTGACTGTCACCAAAATGATCTGATCAAAGCGGAAGCACAGCAGATCCACTTGCCTTTCATATCTTTCCAGTGAATCTCACTGGAATCTCTTGCTTCTAATGTGTAGAATATATTTAGATTGTTTACATAGCTTCTTATTCTGAGACACCTTACATTGCCCACCATCACCAATCATCCTCTCTGCACGTCCTCTTGCAGTAAAGGCTTCTCTTCATACCTCCTTGCAAATGCAGTTTCATTCATACAGATGCAAGCCCATCTCAGTAGCATCCCAAGCAACTTGAGGAATTAGGAGAGGTGTTGTAGTTTAAAATTGATTACATCATATCGGGATTGTGGCATGTAACTTAGTGGTAGCTTAGAGACTCTTGGTGTTACAGCAGCAAAATACTGGTTTTGAAGCTCTCAGAAGTGATCCATGTTGGTGTTATTTGAAGTAACTTTCATTTAGAGTAGCCATTTGAGCTTTAATGGAAGAGAAAGTTGGTGATTCACATTCTTGAAGTCATAACTGATGGTAGAAGCACGAAGACCTGCAGAAAAAAGGAAAAAAGACATATACTGTCCTCCCAGCTGAAGGATTCTCTTCACCATTGTTGCACAGTGAGGTTGTCGGAACAATGTTCTCTTAATTATCATTTCTGATAAATGAGCTCACTGCTCATCTTTCTGAGTGTAGCTGATTCTTGATGGACATGGATATAAATTGGGACCCAAATGAGAGATCTAAGGTGGAAGCCCACCTGAAAGATCACATATTCTATCATAATGTGTGAATTACGATAACTTAGATAAGTCAGATTTTCCGAATAGTTCAAGCCAGATTTCCCAGCTATTTGCTGTCCAAACGAATACGAATACCACACGGTAGTTGTATCTCTTTCTAGTGTTGCTTTCAGGAGAAACTTATTTTCCAATTCATAACTCATATTTTTGCACTGTCGAAGAAGGTAGCAATAAAAATGGCAGCTTGGCACTAAAGATGACTCCAGATGTATTGTTATGTATCAGATTCTGTTTTGACTTCTACCAGACTTCTATTGCCCGATGCAAAATCTTCTCCTCTTTTCTTTGTTAATATCTAATACAGAAAACACACTTCTCTCTTAATTAACATAACAGTACTTTATTTATGACAAGCAGTACTTCAGGATATTCCATGTGAATATTTGCTTGCTGTGCTGAGTTGAATCTGAGATGGCCTCTCCTGAAAGTGGAATCATATTTTGAAGGGATTGATTGATTCAAAGGAAATGAGGAATTAACTTTTCTCCAGCATACAGAGTTTATTTCTTAGGAACAGGTCTGAGAACTTAAAGCCT